GTTTCCATTTAGTTTCTTCATGAACATCTCACTTGAGTTGACCTTTCAGAAGCCCTCACTCTTGCTATCACTCCACTACAAATTGAAATTTAAGTATTCTGTCCCCATAATACCCCCTCTGTAATTTCATATCACCTATATTCTACTATGCATCCTCTTTTCTCCCATCTCTCTACTAATGGCTGTTTCTAGATTTCTCACTTTTACATGTTATCTTACTAAAACATACACAAAAAAAGAAAGGTTGAAACTATGACCCACATATGAGTGAGGGCATATCAGGTTTGACCTCTGGGAACCAGGTGACAACACTCATTATATCTTCTTGTTGCATTATTTACATCCAGATTTTGCTTTCTTATATTTATTTATAGCTAAGTAATATACTTTTGTAGATGTCTATCACATTTTTCATTTACCCATGATCAGTTGCTGGTCATCTGGGGTGATCCCATGTCCTAGATACTGTCATTAAGGCAGCAATGAACATGATGGGGAAATACTCATTGGTCAGATGGCAACTTTTAGAGTTCATATGCAGAACTGAATATTATGTATCAGTTTCCATTGAGATTGAACCCTTCCATCTTGAAGAAAACTCCTTAAAATACAGAATATCAAAACAGAGGTAAAGGAACTGGATCCTCTAAGGTAACTGAAATATTCAATTATACAGAAAATGTCATGAGACTAAGAAATAGTAATTTAATAGCTTTAGGAAGTCACAGAAACTGGCGAGATTCACTAAGGCACTCATGTCTCAAGCATATATAATCAATAAGGACTGCTGAAACACTAAACAATCTGAGCTGCACAGAAGGTGCTCAGACCAGCCATGAAGCAGACAGAAGTCAAGCTGCCTAGCCCAGACAAGAAAAGACAAACTGCCTGGAGAGGTAATGGGTGGCATCAAAGACATTTCCAACTTCCCTTGAATTGCCTGAAAGCTGTGCAGAGATTTGCAGGTTTCCAGCTTCTTTGGACATCACCTTCACAGAGTGATGCAGTTGTCACTGAGTCCTTCCTGCTCTGTAAGTCATCCCTCTCCCATGTTCTTGTAAGTTACACCAATAAAACTCACTTTTTCACTGGGTTTAGGGATGACTCAGTGGTTAAGTGCACTGTCTGCTCTTTCTGAAGACTCACCTTGAATTCCTAACACCCCCACATGGGTACTTAATCTGTAACTTCAACACCAGGGCATCCAGTGCTCTTCTCTGGCCACAGAGAACACCAGGGACATGCATGTAACACAGACATGATGCCTAAAAGAAAAAACAAATATAAACCTCATTGGTTCATCAAGTTAGACTTTGTTGGTTCCCACCTTTGGTTTGTCATTGTTCCTCAGCTGTATTAACTAGATGTTGTTTTGTTTCCACAGGAATAGTGTCACACATCAGTTACTTTGTGTCACACTGTAGTTTTCTTTCATTCATTCACTTATTTATTCAGGGGATTTGATGACTCAAAGTGTTGAAGCAATTAACTGTTCAAGTTGTCCTTTGTATCATGTTAAAGAAGTCTTTTGTTGCCTTCTTCCCCTTTTATATTGGGGTATAAAAGTATATGAAAAATTAAACACAGGCAATTTCAGAATTCACTGGAACTTCCAATAGTATCCTATGTTTTTTGTTTTATTATTTTTATTTACATCTTCCTCCTCTTTGCTTACTTTTGATTCCCATACTCCTACCCTTGTAAGAGGTATTTTTGTTGAGGCTGTTATCCAACAGTCTTCAATCCAATGAAAAATGGTGGAAGATGTTTGCTTCCACCAAGGTGTGCTTGCCACTACTGCATCCTTAGGGCTATTGTGCCAAGATGACAGCTGTTCTGCCTCATAGGCATCATAGCTGCCTAGAACTGTTGGTTGGCTCCCTCCTTTGGAAGCTTGCATGGTGCTTCTGGTACCATGAAATCTATTCCTCAGGGAGCAATATACAAAATACAAAACACAATATAAAATCTTATTTTGAAACAATGTCTCTGTGTACCTCCATCTGTTCTAGACTCACTATGTAGAGCTGGCTGGCCTTGAACTCAGAGTTCCCCTTGCCCCTGCTTCCTCAGTACTGGGTTAAAAGGATTGCATATCCATGCTCAACTCTACATAGATTTTTGTTAATAATTTTTGTTATTTACTGTGTAGCTTTTGCTGACATGAAACTCATTCTGAAGATCAGGCTAGTCTTGAATGCACAGAGATCTGCCTGCCTTTGCCTCATGAGTATTGGGATTAAACATGTTTGCCACTCCTACCCATCCTCTGATCATGTCTTGACAATTACCCAAGGTAAATGCACAGCCTACAAGTGTTCAACTGGATTACTTGTTTACTGACTTTAAAGACTTCTGTTACATTAAATTGGAAACTCTAATTGAAATAGATAAATATGACATACTCAGTGAATATAATACACCAAAGTTAAACATCATGAAATAGATATATAAACAAATCATCAGTAGGAATGTGACTGAAACAGGTATAAAATACCACCCTTAAAAGAACCCCATGATCAAACTGACAGGATTCTATCAGAACTGCAGAGAAAAACTGCAAAGCTGCTACTTTAAATACTAATTGACACAAAAGAGGAAGACTTCTTGACTCTTAGTATTATCTGATATATCAAATAATGAGATTAGCATAGTAGCGCACACCTTTAAATATTTATTTATTTATTTATTTATTTATTTATTTATTTATTATACTGTATTCTGTCTGCTTGTATGCCTGCAGGCCAGAAGAGGGCACCAGACCTCATTACAGATGGTTGTGAGCCACCATGTGGTTGCTGGGAATTGAACTCAGGACCTTTGGAAGAGCAGGCAGTGCTCTTAACTGCTGAGCCATCTCTCCAGCCCCTAGCACACACCTTTAAGCTCAGCATTTTAGAGGCAGAGTTAGGTGGATCTCAGTGAGTTCAAGACCAACCTGGTCTACAGAGTGAGTAATAGACAAGCCTAGACTGTTACACAGAGAAACCCTGTCTTGAAAAATGAACAAACAAACAAACAAATAAACCACCAGATAATGATACAACAAAAATGAAACTACAGCCTGATAAATTCATTTTAAAATTTTCTGAGCTTGGGATGGTGGTCCACGACTTTAATGCCAGCACTCCTAAGGAAGAGGCTGACTGCTCTCAGAACTTCAAGGCCAGCCTGATATACTCTCAGAGAGGAGTTACAGAACTGCCAGGGATACACAGAGAAACTCTTGTCATAAAAAAACAAGAAAAAAGTCTATTAGCCATTTTGCATTCACAGGCATATATGTATATGCACACAGTCTGTGTGTATATGTGTGTTCTGTGTCTGTGTGTTTGTGTGCACCTCAGATACAGCCCACTCCCACCTCCTTCCTCTCTGGTATCCTGATCCACCATTTCAAAACATCTCTCTTGTGTTCATCTTCATTTATTTTCCTTTGTGATCCCCTGATATTAACCAGAGTCATCTGTGAGACTGTGGTTTTTTTTTTTTTTTTCGAGACAGGGTTTCTCTGTGGCTTTGGAGCCTGTCCTGGCACTAGCTCTTGTAGACCAGGCTGGTCTCGAACCCATCTGGATTCAGCAGAGGCCTACAACCAAAGGCAGCAATTCTTCTCCTACAATCCATTCATAGGCAAAATTTGAGGCGTAGACTGGGCCCTGTGAGCCTTTTCCTATCCTAGACTGATTGTGGTCTAGTGTGAGGTCAATGCAGGTAAGTACAGTTGTTGTTAGGTTTTGATTATAACAGCTGTTGTAGAGAGCTGCGGGCTGCGTTTTTGCCACCCAGCTCCCGGCCGCCTGGCTAGCTTATGCCCCGAAATAATTACACGGAAACTGTATTCTTTTAAACACTGCTTAGCCCATTAGTTCTATCCTCTTAATGGCTAATTCTCACATCTTGCCTAACCCATATTTAGTAATCTGTGTAGCACCAGTCTTACCGGGAAAGATTCAGCATGTCTGACCTGATGGCTTGCTTCATCGTGTCTGCCCTGGAGAGGAGTGGCATGGCGTCTGCCTCACTTCCTTTTCCTCCCAGCATTCTGTTCTGTTTACACCACCCACCTTTGTTCTAACATATCAGGCCAAGCAGTTTCTCTATTAATTAACTAATGACCTTCCTCTATCAAACAGCTGTATGGAATTTAGAGAATGGCATGTCTAAGTCCTTCCTCTTTCTTTTCTTACTCCCTTTCCTCCTCTTCTTCCTCAGTGTTCCCAGACCCACAGACTTTTGTAGGGCTGGTACCAAATACCTTCCTTATTTTTTTGTATATGGGACAGTAAGAATCTCTGCATTCACCATTGCAGTTTTATAAAATTTTATATTTTATCTAAAAAGCTCTTTTAACATGAGTCACAGAAGCCTATCTTGTTTCTGAATAAAAAAAAAAAAAAAGCAAGACCACCATCTAGTGGTACTGAGAGCAGTTCAGCACAGGATGAATTCATCTCTGGGCTGTTAGCAATGGGGTGACAATTGACTTCTTGGGACACTTATTTATTTTCAAAATCCAAGTTCCTGTAGTATCTCTCCGCAAGGCAAAATTGCAGTATTTGGTTTTGGCTTCTCATGTTTGTGTTAGCGATGGACGGTGGCATCTGAATTTAACCTACTATCGTTTGTGTATGTAGGTAGTAACACAGGAGTCTGGTAGTCACATAGAGGTTAGGCTGCCTGTCTTTTATCTGAAGGGTTCTGAACTCACTGTCAGGTCAGATACAGGGGTGCAGCCTCCTCCTAGATCCAGATCTGCTCTAGGCTGGCAGCGAGCATGAGGGGAGGCTGTGCAGACCGGGTCCAGGGCAACCTGACAGCTGGAGCTGGGTGGAAGGTGGCCTGAGAAGGAGTGGGAGGAACTGCTCAGTAGGGCGGAGACACTCAACCGGAAGAACGGTTGGGAGGTTGTTGCAGGTAAGGACAGTGTAGGAGTAGGGATGGAGAAGTGGGATGAGTTAGAGAAGTGACGTAAACGGAAGCTGGGCAACCCAGGGACAGAGCTTGGAGAAGTGGACTGGAGCGGTAAAGCCAGAAGTGCCCAGTGCCTATTCCCTGTCATTGCTCCAGTGGAGAACCGCGTGGTGCAGACCTAGGTGCGGAGGAGTCGGCGGGTGTTGCGGGGACGCGAAAACTCCCAGGAGCCGCAGTCGCCGCAGTCGCCGCGGGGCGGCCTGGGAAAGTCAGCAGCGCCGTGGCGGGAACCGCAGCCCGGCGGCCCTGGAACCTCCCAGGTCAGAGGAGCTGCGGGGCTGGGACCCAGGAGGGAAGGGACCAGGGGTGCCAGCTGTTTCTCACAAAAAAAAAAAAAAAAAAAACTGGCTCTGAAATTCTGCTGTGGTGTCTTCCCTTGTCGATAAATTTCAGGTAATATGACCTCTACCAACCTTGATATTTTTTTCATTGATCTGTTCGCTAAAATAGTCGCATAAAAATGACCTACTAAAGTATTTGAATTTATGTGTTGATGTTTGCAAACTCGGTTCTCTTTGCTGTGGCGGGCAGGGCAAAGCTCTTCAAATTTACATTCATCCACGCCCACTTTCGTGTTACACCACTAGCTATTCAAGAGACTAGCACATAGACCTAGGGATTTTTGCATTCCCAGAGATCTTTTATATATAGTCATGAAATGAACGCTAGCAAATTTAATTGAATCCGAAAGTATATTTTTTTTTGCGAGCTCCATAGGTATGGTTGTAAACATTAACGTTAAAACTAAACTTTTATCAGTCATTAAATTTTTTATGACACGTATGTACTATGTGATGTAAATAGAGCATTTTGAAAAGTGTCATTGACAGGCTTGGTGGCAAACATCTTTAATTCCACCACTGGGGAGACAGAGTCAGGTGGAACTCAGTGAATTTGAGACCACCCTGGACTGCCTAATAAGTTCCAGGATAGCCAGAGCTTCATAGTGAGATCCCGTTGTTTTTTGTTTTTTCTCAAAAAGAGAAACAAAAGAAAAGTGTATTTTTGTGTCGAATTCTCAATGTACAAGCTAGAACCTGGAAAAGTACAGTATGCTTTAGGCTAACAGGTCACTGTATTTTCAGTTAGAAAGGGCATTTTATAAGCCACATAATAGTGGTGGCACACTCTTTTAATCCAAGCACTTGGGAGGCAGACTGGGGTGGATCTGGTAGTTCCTTGCCAGCCTGGCCTACAGAGTGAGTTTAAGGACAGCTGGATCTACAGAGAAACCCTGTCTCAGGTGGGAAAAAAGTAAAAAGAAATTAAGTGATATTATAATATAAGATACAATAGGCAGCATCTTTTGAATAATTACAATAACTCTCGTCTACATCAGAAAAAATGACTAGAGTAGTCTTTTCTCTCCTTGGTCAAAGAACTCTGTCCATAGACACATTACCAAACTGTAATTTCTTGATTCTTGTGTTTACTGTGTTTGAGTCCTCAATTCTTTGTGTTGTTCTGTCTGGATCAGTGAGCCTTGCACATGAGAAATAGATTCTTCATAAAGCGTCTGCTTTTCTAATACATGTTAGAGATCAGGCTGGACTGGAACTTACAGAGTTCCAACCACCTCTGTTTCCCCAGTTCTAAGAATAAAGGTGTGCACCCACACAGCCATTCAAACTGTTGTATTTTATTCTGTGGTCTGTTGACAGTCCGCGATGTGACTGTGGACTTCTCCCAGAAGGAGGGACAATGCCTGGACTCTGCTCAGAGGGCTTTGTACAGAGACTGGATGTTGCAGAACTGCAGCAGTCTGGTTTCTGGGCATGAGAGTAGTTTGCTTGCAGTCTCCCTTGCTCCTCGTAGGGTTTTTTGGTAAATTACTCTGCAAGTGTGTGTCCCTTTGAGAGGTGTAAGGCTTTTATCATATTGGGTCTATGATACATTCAGAACATCAGTAGTGTATGATAGTCTCATACCAGTCATTCAGTTCCATTTCTTCCCCTGAGATTTAACTAAGTTCTGATTGGAAGTGGCATTCAAGTTATGATAAGCGAAAATGCTTTCTCAAAATTTTCAGTATTCTAACATTGCATGACAATTTGGAAATCACTTGTATAATCCTGTAATTAGCTTTCTCTTTATCTACTGAGTACAACACTTCGTTAGAAAAGCACAGAGACTGGATGTTACAGAATTGCAGTGATCTGGTTTCTGTGGGTGAGACTGCATTGCTTGCAGACTCCCTTGCTCCTCCTCAGGGTGTTTTGGCAAATTACCCTGCACATGTGTGACCCTTTGAAAGATCTAAGGCTTCTATCAAATTGGGGCTATGGTAAATTCAGAATGTCACTAGTATATAACATTCTTGTTCCAATAATTCAGTGTTGTTTCTGAACCCGAGTTTTTACTGAGCTGTTATTGGAAGTGGCATTCAAGTTACACGAACTGAAAACACTTTCTAAATATTTTCAGCATGCTGACATTGATGACAATTGGGGAATCACTTGTATAATCCTGTATTTAGTTTTCTCCTCATCCACTGAGCACAGTACTGTGTTAGAAATCCAGGTGCTTCCTGAAGAGTCTCTTTCTCATGTGCAGGGTCAACTGATCACCCAGATCTGCTCACTGTGCTGCAGAACAAAGAGGCCTGGAAGATGGAGAGGGAGGAGACAGTAGCTAAGGATGCAGGTATGGTGGAGATCTTGGAGAAGGAGTGGCAAGGGGTTCAAGTGAATGTGGTAGAGACATGATTTCATGTGGTATCCTATTATAATTTTGAGAACAGGTTCTACAGACGATTGATACTCGAAGGCAGATAACGTTTTATTTGACTATGCATTGTGAGTGATGCTGTTCTTATTCATTCTTATTCATATATCTCTTATCTCATCACACCATATTAATTGGTTTTAATTTCTATGATTTTAGTATATTATAAAGTGATCAAATTAATTCCTCTAGTTTTATTTATTGTTTTCAGAGCTTTTGATATTCTAGCACATTCTCTACCTTTTAGTGTTGATGTCACCATTTCTGAAAATAATACCAGCACTCAGCACTCCAACCCTGAGAATGAGCATGCAGCACGTAAACCCTCTCTTTCTGAGTAACAGCCAAATCTGCCACGCAGAGCTCTGTGCAGGCTGGAAACATCTCTGTGTATGGCGTCAGGAATCTACCATGCTCTCCTACCTGTGCAAGCCTAGTATACCTGATCCCGCTGGGAGTGCCAAGCCACAGGCATGGTCTCAGCCACTTTTCTCCCAGCCCTGAGTGGACACAAACACCTTGGCCCACAAATGCCATTCAAATGCTCCATAGCCAAAGTTCGTGCTGGCATCATGGCCCAGGAAGCTGCACTTCAAAACCACAAAGCTTCCTCCCCCTCATGGCCGAACTAGGAAATCATTTCCCAAAGAAGCCATACCTCTGCCTGCCTCTAGCAAACAGAGCCCACCCAAGAAAATGCCACTACCAAAGCACTGTGTCTAGGATTTCTTTTTATATTTCTCAGGTTTTACATGGATTTAATCCAGCACATTGGCACACCACTTGTTGGAGGGATCCACTCGTTATTTTCAGTCTCCCAGCTAGCTTACCCCAAAATAATCACACAGAAATTATATTGATTAAAACACTGCTTGGCCCATTAGCTCTAGCATCTTATTGGCTAACTCTTACATCTTAATTTAACCCATTTCTATTAATCTGTATATCACCACGAGGTTGTGGCATATCTGTCTCTGGCGGCGGCCCCATGGCATCTCTCTCCTCCGCCTTCCTTCTGCCAACATTCCATTTAGTTTTACCTGCCTAGCTCTGTTCCCCTATAGCTCTGCTATAGACCCAGAGCAGTTCCTTTATTCATTAACCAATAAAAGCAACACATAGGCAGAAGGACCTCCCACACCAAAGACTAGATAGTCATAGTTACTTTTCTCACATGAGTTGACCAAACTATTTCTAATACAAGATTTAGACTCCTTAGGATAGGATAGTTATTGAAATATTTAGCATATGTTTCTTGCTTGATATTGTTTATGCTGGTTGTAATTCTAATTTTTATACTTGATATTTGTTCTTTTTGTACGTAGTTTTATATTAGGCTTAGAACTCTCTTATTTAGACAAAATGTGGTGCTATTGTGGGAACTCCTTTAGCCAATGGGCTTTAAGATACCAGCCTAGTTGGGCATGGTCTCTTATACTATAAATGCAGTCGTAAAGCTTGCGTGCCCTCTCTCCTGGCTGTTGGATTCGGTTCCTGTTCCCTGTCCATGCAAAGGACTGTGATCAGTGAGTCTACCCCTAAATAAATAACTCCGTATTATACTTAATTCTGAGTTAGTGTGGGTTTACTTTTTAGCGTCCCTCTATAGCAAAGGGTCTGTAAGAGAGCAGCAGGTACTCTGAAGTATTGAGCCATCTCTCTAGCCACTTATTAAGTTTAATTATGTGATTAGGCATAATAGAAAACATTAAAAATTTTTATCTATGTCGTCCAAAAACTTAACTTTACACGCACCTTATTATTTCTTAATAATCTTTTCTTCCATTCTTATATGTTTGAATTCCTAAACTTAAAAGTACAACTTACTCAGGCTATATGTTTTGAGGCATGAACATTTGGTATTGGATAACCATATGGTGTACTCTTCTCTGGGGGAGACTATTTCTCCAGCTCTCAGAATTCCTTAGTGCTTGACTAGGGTTGAGGCCTAGTGAGCTTTCTCTTCCCATGATAGCATGTCTCTTGGTGTTGTCCTTGTTCTGCTCCTGTTTAGGCAGCCCTTTGTAAGATTTGAAGCATGTAGCTTCTCTAACATTTCTAGGAGATACAATGGCAAACCAAATACCCTGTTCTTCTGGCTCTTGAAATGTTCCCATCTGACTTGCTTAGTGATCTCTGACCCTGAGGCGAAGGAGTTGTGTTGTTTATGTGTAAGAAGGGACTGAGCATCACAACTCTGCATTTTGACTGATTGTGGTTTTCTGTAATAATCTCCATGTGTTCCAAAAAGAACTTTGCTTGATGAGATATGAGCTACATTTATTTGTGGGAATAAGGAAAATATTTAGAGTGCAGTTAGGGATTCTGCTGATTTAATGAAGTAGTGATTGAAGGTTCTTCTCCAAGATCCCTAATTTCACTAACCCTAGGCAACTGGCTAGTTTTCCAGTACCAGGCATGGTTTCCCTCTTGTTGAGAAGGTCTTAAGTCCAATTAGAAGCTGCTGATTACCATCTTGGTATGTGTGTCACTCTTGCACCCCTAGAGTGCAGATCATTCTTTGGTTCAAAGGAGTCGTGAAGGGGTAGGACTGTTGTTTGGTTCCCTACCTTGGAAGCTTTCATGTTTTCTTCTGTTATCATGAAACGCATCCCCAGAAAGATGCTTTTAAGTTCTGATCCATCTCAAGTTCTCTGGCTTCAATGTCTGAAGTACATGGCTGCTTCAATAATTGAGACTCACCTTCTACCTCTGGGAGGCAATCATGGGGAACAGCAATGGCCTATAATGTTTAGGGAGTCTCTTGGACAGCTGTGACCAACAACTTCAGAGCAGGATTCTCATGCCTTGTGTGGGTGGTTTTCTTTGAAATTATCAGACCAGATGGGAAATTTTTATTTACATTATAAATATATGTGCATTCATAGACGTATGTGTATTGTAGGCATTTTTCCTTAGATGGATTATATTCAAGGAATAGATGAATGGATTCCTTATGATGTTTAGACATCCTTACCCTCTGTCTTCAGTGTTTATGTCTGTCCCTTCTCCATAATTAAATCCCCTCCTGTTTTTCCATTTTTCCCTTCAGATCACTTGTTCTGTGTTATTCCCTTTTCTATCACTCCCCCACACCCCACAGAGCTGTCTTTTTACTTTTCTGGTTCCTGCAGTCACTCCAGGTTGTGGACTCAGATCTGACGATATGGAGCTAGGAACTTCCTATGAGAGAGAACATGCAATGTCTATCTCTCTGGGTCTGGGTTACTTCACTCAATATGGTCTTTTCTATGTCCATCCATTTAGCTGCAAACTTAATAATTTCAGTTTTTATGGGTGAATAATATTTCATAGTATATATGAATCACATTATCCATTTTTCAGTTGAAGGATGTTTAGGTTATTTACTTTTTGTAGCTATTGTGAGTAGAGCAGCAATGAATATGGCTGAACAGGTATATGTAAAATAGGATGCTGCGACCCTTGAGTTCATGAAGGAATGGAACAGCTGGGTCATAATTCATTTAACTTAAGGATTTATTTTTTTTAATTGAGTGTTCTCTTTGTTGATTCTGAGAGTGGCTAGATATTTTGTTGATAGCATTTTGATTCTCTATGCTTTTGTTTTTGATGTTGTTGCTGGTTGGATTATTGATAGTATTCCTCTTTCTTCTCTGTGAGAATTAGTGCTTCTCTATCTTGCCCATGGGTGATTACTTCTCAGTTTTCCTGTATTTATCTATTCTTCAAGTAAAACTTATTATTTCTCTTGTTTAGATAATTCCTCTGATTTTCCTGTATATATTTTGCCTTTGACATAGTGTCTGCTGTCCTCTTTTGTTGAAATGAAAAACATTGTTGAATGTTTTGGTTTATAATTATCTTGAACTGCACTTCCATCTTTATCAAAAATTAATATAGAATTTTTCTGGATGAAACAACATGGTTGACAGTGAATTTTTTTTTCTCCAGGCGTTAAATGTCATTCCATGTTCTTCTGGCTTTGGGAGACTGACCAGACACCTGGTGTATTCTGTTGCTTGAGTCTTTTCATGAGGTTTGAAATTGTTCTTCAAGCTTTCCGTATTAACTTTTGCTTTTGCTTTGTGACCCCTTATATAAAAGGGCAGCAAGCCATCTATTCATTGCTCTTGAAAGAGAAACTCAAAGAAGAGAAACAGAAAGAAATGGCTGATTCTCCAGTAAACTCCCAGGTCAGTGGTCATGTCCACTCTTTTTTCTAGAAATGTTATATGTTTAGATATTCCAAGCCTTTAATTTTTTGCTTCTGGTAATTTTTTAAAATTTATTATAAAAAATGTTCAAACAAAAAACAACAAAATCACACACTAAAATTAACCAAGCCTAAAGACTATAAAACTCTATGAACTTTTATACAGTTAGAGTAGTCATTGGGAATAGAAGTTCTGCAGCCTCACAAGGAATTTTATATTTTTTACTATCAAATATATTTTTTGAACATGCCTACTACAAAAAAAATGTAACAAAATCAGAACTAGAAAATCATTTAGCTTTATATCCTTTTTCATAAATGGTTCATTACCTGCATGCAATCCTACCTCTGTTGTGGGAGGTCCTTCCGCTCCTCCAGCCAATAGCCGCTGAGATACCAGCCCATTGGGTCATGGTCTCTCTCCCTTTAAAAAAGGGGGCCACTTCCCTTCTCGCTCTCTCTTACTTCCTGCTCTGCTTCCGGCTACTAGACTCCCTTCCTGATTGCGCAGAGGGCTGTTGTCTGGGACGGTGATCTGTAAGTTTTTTCCCCTTTAAATAAATAACCATTCTATTAATCATAATTCTAAACTGGTGTGGGATTGTTTTTGACTTACATCTTCACCTTCCTCTGGCGCCCAACGTGGGGCTCGAACCCATGACCCTGAGATTAAGAGTTTCATGCTCTACCAACTGAGCTAGCCGGGTTTCTTACCCATTTAAAGTTTGAGAATAGGTTGAGATCGTTTCAGCCCCAAGACCTCTAATCATTCGCTTTACCGGATAAAACTGTGTTCTGCGCCAGGCACTCGCATTCCACGCAGCCCGTGTTGTTATTTCGGGGTATAAGCTAGCCAAGCGGCCAGGAGCCGGGCTGTGGGAAGAGGCCCGCAGCTCTTACTACATACCTCAACCCTGGTTTTTAAACATTTCTTGTTCTCTTTTCTCCATATTCTGCTGTACCCACTTGTATGTTGTTTCCTATATGCACATGTTGTTAGTAGATTGTTGGAGCCCGTGTGGCTCCAACACAGATAACTCTTTTCCCTAACTGGACTGATACAGAGTCGTGAGGAATAATCAGACACAGCTTACACGGTTATCACGAAAGGGCATCTCAGGCTTCTTCCTCCTGAAGATCTCCCCGTGTTTATTATCCAAACAGCTTATATACCATCACATAAATTGAACGGGAAAATACATTACTGTCTCATAGGTTACCAGGTGAATGGTCTTTTGTCACATCCGCATCTACCTATCTGCTGAGCATGCTAGCTGTCAAGTAGGCCTGAATTAGCATCTCTATAAAATATCCTCCAAATTACAATGGAAGGAGCGCCAAACATCCTTACCTTTGTTAGGCAGTCAGCTTGTCTGCAGAGCTATATGACCCCCTCGGATGGGGCCTATGGCTTTTTCACCTGGCTGCCACACTATACCGAAATATGGGCCTACAGTAGATTCAACACATGAGAGAAAATGTAGTTTCTTCTTTCTGCTACTGTGTGACCTCACATTTGCATGTTTTCAGTCCTTCCACTTTCATGCAAACATTTATTACATATTTCTCTTCAGCTTTATAATATTCCATTTTATATATACCATTTTCATCATCAGTTCCTTTGTTGATAGATAATTAGGTCATTCCGATAATTTGCTGTGGTTAATAATGTAGCAATGAACATGGGGTATACATATCTCATATTGGGGAATGGAGTTTCATTTATGTTCCCAGGAGTGACATTGCTGGGTCATACGTTAGTTCTATCTTCAATATTTTAGTATTCGCTAAACTGACTATAACAATGGCTATATTAATTTACACACCCCCTCATATACCAACAGTTAATGATGGTTCTTTCCACATCTTCTTGAACATTTGGTGTCAGGTTAGTTGATGACAGCCATTCTCAGCCTAGGGTAAGGCAGTATTTCAAAGTAGTGTTAGTTTGGGTTTCCATAAGGATGTTTTAGGGATCCTGAAGACTTAAAATATTTATTGGCCATTTGTGTTTCTGTCTTTACAAAATGTCTCTTCACTTCATTTGCCCATTTTTTTGATTGGCAGTTTTATTTCCTTGGTATTTAATTTATGTAATTCTCAATAAATCCTAGGTATGAGCCCCTATCAAAAATGTTGCTGGTACAGACTCATTCCCACTCAATACCGCATAAATTTTAAGAAGAACACACTGAGGTTTACAAAATCCAGGCACAATAGCTCGAATTTCTTTTGAGCCAATGTTCTATGCTATATTTTATTTGCAAAACACTGAAAAGTGACTATAATTCTCACAGAATTTGATTATCTTCATTGTCTCACAGGGAATCTATGTCACTTCTGAAGGCATCTTCACTTACTCCACTCACATGTACATGCTTAGCTGCAACTAAAACACTGTTTCATGTGTTTTTATACTTACCTCAATTTTTATAACTCTTGGGAGTGAAATATTCTCCAGAACTTTAGAAATTGTTATATGTCTAAGTTGCTTTACGTCTATTTTTTTTAATTTTACATTATATCCAATGTGACTGATGTAGATTTTCCTGTGTGCTTGTTGGTGGATCGAATATTCTTAAAATAGTAATCATATCGACTTGATTTCACATGTTAGTGTTCAAATTGACAGGATACAGTGCTGTTACACTCATTGTTATTTTGGAAAAACCAAAATTCTTTGCCTATAAAGCCAATCATGAAATTCTGCCTTCATATCTACTGTCAGGGACCAGCCATGACAAAAATACAGGGACTAGGAATACAAGTATAGAGCACGAAAATAATAAAACAGAAAAACATAGAATAGTATCGGGAGAGAGTTCCAGTGAATACTGAATTCTCCCACATTTAATTTCCAATTGTTTAAAATGCCCCGCCCCCAAGAAGAGGGTGTAAGATTTAAAAAACTGCACTAACATGATAAAAGGAAACAGACCAGTTGAAGATTGTGGGCTACATTCTGTTGCTAGAACAAAACGGGTCAGCTCACACCCTAGACCAAAACATTCTGTAGGCAAACCACTCCCTGGGTAGAATTCAGTGTTATTTCCTTAAGGGAATTGGAAATTTAGTTGAACCCTTAGATTTTTGTTTGAAGTAGAAACATATCTCTTCTCTGTTCCTAAAATACAAGGTCTGGCTATTAGCCACACTTGTCAATCATCTTGGGGGAGTAGAACTCTCTGATCTAAGTCTAGGTGGGACCTTTGTTTGTGATAGAAACACAATAACCTTGAAGGAATAGAGGTAAGCTCCAACTGTCTGACCTTTTGTCCAGGTGGAAATACATTTTTGGGCTTCCACAATCTACTCCTGTCTCCTTAATGGAATGGCATTGAACTTAGACATTAAAGATACGAACCGAGCATGTTAGAATAGACTCCTTTTAAGATCCAAGAATGCATAGAATTTATTCAGTGTCAGTATTTTAGCATGATCTACAGATACAGCATTTGTTTTTTGCTTTTGTTTGGGGGGGGGGTTGGGGAGGGTTTTTGTTTGGTTGATTTTGGGTTTTTCGAGACAGTCTCTCTATTTAGCTTTGGAGCCTGTCCTAGAACTCACTCCGTATACTAGGCTGGCCTCAAACTCACAGAGATCCGCCTGCTTCTGCCTCCCAAGGATGAGATTAAAGCTGTGCACCACAACCACCTGGCTTCAGAGATAGTATTTAAAGCACATCACCTCATCATAAATCTTCCTTCAGGGGCATGTATGCTGTGATCCTTTGATATAAACACAGCATCCTTAACAGATAGATAATCATGTCCAGACCTTAACTGTCTGTTCTTTTGTGTATATGCTTGTGAGAGTTTTGGGTCAATCTGCTTTCACAGTGTTAGAAAACTTATTATACAATGTGACCACATTAGAAATCTTGTTTTTTTTTTTTCTCTCTCTCTCTCTTTTTCCTCTTTAACTGTTTTTGCTTATCTACATCCCTAATCTCCTTAAGTCTCTTTATGTTCAGAAAAGCACTCTGCCAGGATCACATGGTCAAACTGTACTTTTTTGTTTCAGGGTCTGTTGACATTCAGGGATGTGACTGTAGACTTCCTTCAGGAAGAGTGGGAATGCCTGGACTCTGCTCAGAGGGCTTTGTACATTGATGTGATGTTGGAGAATTACAACAACCTGCTCTCAGTGGGTGAGATCATTGTGCTTCTAGAATTTTTATCTCATCTTAGGTATGTACTGACTTCATAGGTTATAAACTCTATTAAGATACCATGGAAACAACAGGAGACAATTGAAAGATTGGTAGGAGAAAAGAACTTTTTCATGGAACTTACTTTTTTTTCTATTCTCCATGTTAGAGTTACCATGTACCCCTTATTTTGGTTCCACAATGCATTCAGAACTTAATATCGTATAAAATTTCACTCATATCTTAAAGCTCCATGTCTGCCAAACCACATATTATTTTGTTTTTGAGAAAAAAAATCAAGATATGCAAACTGACAATTCTCCCTAAATATGTTAAAGATTCTGACAGGAAATAGCAATGGAAATTATTCCCAGATTCGTCTACTTTGTGTTCTGTTCCTTCCTGTACTGCGTAGATGTGTTAAACATCTGTATTCTTTCTAAAAATTCTAGCATGGGTCATGGGCTGCGTCACAGAACATGAGGATTATTGTATGCAAGATAGGCATGGTTACCTGTCCGGAAGAAATGAGATTGCTCTGGAATGTGGAGAGGAGAGAGTAGCCACAACAAGGAAAGTCTAGTGAATGAGCAGGACGAGAGTGATGACTTCCCATGAAAAAGAGAGCAAGACCTGAGAATGCTTTGGCTATATTTGCTTCCAATTCCTGACCATTGATCTGATTATATTGTCCTTGTCTCAACATGCATCCTGCCTGTTGTAACTGTTAGAAGGTGTTGTGCCTATTGCAACTGAATTATGCTGACAGTACTTGTAGGAAATCTAATTTTATTTGACTATGCTGACATCAGATTGGAATAATTTTACAAACTAAGTCTAATGTGAGTTCATGAAGTAGGATTATTCTCTAGTTGCCTTCCTTATATGCATATCTGCATATTACATCCTTCATTTTCATGCCAGTGGAGAATATACAGGCACCATTCTGGGAAATATTCTCAGTAGTCAGTGCACAGAGTGGAGCTGAGAATAACCCTATGAGGAAAGTTAAGAAACACAGCAGTGTATGGAGCTCAGATGATGGAGGATAGACATAGATCTAGAAACTCTGATATCTGGTGGAATACTGTTTTTGCATCCATTACTCTTGTAGATTCTAATGCCTTGTTGTAGAAATAAAGAAAATAAACCCTTTGATGCTTTTAAGTAAGACTTTGATCTTTAAAGGAATTGTGTCTTCTTAACCATCCTCCTCATTGCCTGTCACTTAGTAAGTACAAGCACTGTGAACCTGGGATTTGATTAAACTCTGCTTCTTCAATTTCTGAACACGGAGACATGTGTTCTAAATATAATCAGCCATTTGAGCTCCATCCCAAAGCTAATTACTGGTTCTTCAATTACATAATCCATCTTGTGCCGTTAGACATTTTTAGTAATGATGAGATACCTATTATATCACAGACCCTTGAAGACTGTCAGTCTGTTTTTGTGAGAATATATAAAATTACAGTGAAAGAAAAAAATATCTAAATAGTTCGTGGTTGACTTATCTTAAAAGACAACTTAGAGACACAGTCTTTTATCAAATGTTTGATTTTTGCACAAGCCCTATTAATATGACCTTACTCATTTTCAGAAAACTATTACGTATGTGATCCTGTCCATCAACATATGAAGACTGAAAAAGAGTCTTATCAGTGTAATAAGCTTGACGACATGCTTCATGACCCCACCACATGTGCACTTTATAGAACATGTGATGCTACAGAAAACTCTAATAACTACAGGTGCAGTAATCACAGGGATGACTCTATTGACTCATCAAACCCAGATAGACATGACAGCATGCACACTGGAGAAGAACCTTGCAAATCAAGAGACTGTGAGAAATCTTTAAATTTGTGTCCCAACATTAATAAAGATCAGAGACTCTACACTGCAAAGAAAGAGCACAGGCAGGAAGAATGTGGTGACACTTTTGGTTCTAGAAACAGTCTTTTCCAACAAGCGGTCTACATTGTAGAGAAACCACACCAATGTGGGAAATGCAAAAAATCTTTCGGTACTGCCTCAAGTCTCACTGTACATCAGAGAATTCATAATGGAAATAAGCCCTACAAATGCAACTTTTGTGGCAAATCCTATAACCATTGTGCAAATCTTAGAATACATCAAAGACTTCATACTGGAGAGAAACCTTACAAATGCAAAGAATGTGGAAAGTCATTTCGACAGTCTGCAGCTCTTAAAAGCCATCTGGAAATACATACTGGAGAGAAGCCTTATAAATGTAAGGAATGCAGCAAATCCTTTGCCCACCATTCCAGTTTCAGGAGACATCAGAAAATCCATACTGGAGAGAAGCCTTACAAATGCAACAAGTGTGACAGGGCATTTACACACTGTGGATCACTTAGATGGCATCAGAAAATTCATTCTTTAGAGACATTTTACAAATGTAAAGAATGTGGTAAGTCCTTTCTTGAATTATCACAGCTTAAAAGGCATCACAGAATCCATACTGGTGAAAGGCCTTACAAGTGTGAGGTCTGTGACAAATCCTTTACTGTGAACTCACATCTTAAAAGACATCAAAGAATTCATACTGGGGAGAAACCTTACAAATGTAGGGAATGTGACAAATCTTTTACTACATGCTCATATCTTAGAGAACATAAGAAAATTCATACTGGGGAGAAACCTTACAAATGTAGGGAATGTGACAAAGCTTTTACTACATGCTCATATCTTAGAGAACATCAGAAAATTCATACTGGGGAGAAACCTTCCAAATGTGGAGAATGTGACATGTCTGTAACTCAGGGGTTTGCTCATAGAGAACATCTAACAATTCATACTAGGGAGAAGCCTTACAGATGTGGAGAATGTGACAAATCCTTCACCCAGCATTCACATCTTAGTACACATCAGAGAGTTCACACTGGAGAGAGACCTTACAGTTGTAAGGAATGTGACAAATCATTTACTAGGTATTCCTACCTCAGAGCACATCAGAAAATTCATACTGGACAGAAACCTTACAAATGTAAGGAATGTGAGAAATCCTTTACAGACAACTCACAGCTTAGAAGACATCAGACTGTTCACACTGGAGGGAAAGCTTACAGTTGTAAGGAATGTGACAAATCCTTTACCCGTAGTTTAAACCTTAGAATACATCAGAGAATCCACACTGGAGAGAGACCTTACAGTTGCAAGGAATGTGAGAAATCTTTTACTACCTGTTCATTTCTTAGAGAACATCAGAAATTTCATACTGGAGAGAAGCCTTACAAATGCAAAGTCTGTGAGATATCCTTTAATCAGATAGTGCATCTTAGAACACATCAGAGAGTTCATACTGGAGAGAGACCTTACAAATGCAAAGACTGTGATATGTCCTTTAAACAGGTAGGGCATCTTAAAACACATCAGAGGATTCATTCTGGAGAGAGACCTTACAGTTGTCAGGAATGTAACAAATCTTTTACTAGGTGTTCCTACCTCAGAGCACATCAGAAAATTCATACTGGAGAGAAACTTCACAAATGCAAAGACTGTGACATGGCCTATATCTATGTTTCAAATCTTAGAAGACATCAGAGAGTTCACACTGGTGAGAAACATACTATTATAAATGATGTCACATAATATTGTTTTAAGTATTCTCTACTTATAAATCCCAACAGTATACATAACAGAAGCATAAAGATAAGAAACTTGCAAAAGTCTCGAAAGGTACTTTAAATGTTAGAAAATATCATGGAGTTTATATTAAAATAAAATTCTGTTCTAGGAGCTTTGTGGATTTTTATTTAATGTGTATGGGTCTTTTGTCTGCAACTCTTTCTGTGCACTACATGTTTGTCTGGTTCCTGTGAATGCCAAAAGAAGGCATAGGATTCCTTGAAACTGGATTTCTAGACAGTTGGGAACTATTGTAAGTGTGTTAGGAATTGAACCCTGGTTCTCTGGAAGAGTAACCAGTGCTCTTACCCACTAAGCCATGTCTCCAGCTCCTAGGAAAGCTGTAATAAAATCACTTATCTTGGCAGGGCAGTGGTGGTAGCACATGCTTTTAATCCCAGCACTGCGGAGGCAGAGGCAGGTGGATACATGTGAGTTTGAGGCCATCCTGGTCTACACAGCTAGTTACAGGACAACCAAGTCTGTTACATAAAATCCCAGTCTCAAATGCAAAAAGAAGGCAACCTAAAAGCTGTTTATCTTGTTCAACATTCAAGAATTCATAATCATGCCAGGCTAGGTAGTGCATGCCTTTAATCCCAGCACTCAGGAAGCAGAGGTATGAAGATGTCTAGTCTGAGACCAACCTTGTCTACATAGTTCCAGGACTGCCAGGAGTGTATGGACCCTACATCAAATAACTAAATAAATAAGGACAAAATATAGTAACAAAATATATGACAAAGACCTCTAATTGTGCTGTACATCACAAAATTCATAATTCTGAGAAAGCATATAGAGATATACCATATATAATCCTTATGTCTTGCTGTTGATTTGAAATAACACCCATCAAATGCAGTAAATTTGACAAATCATTGAAATAACACTGAAATTACCAAAATAAAAGCAAATTCAGAGGCAGGCCCCTGCTAGTGACCTCCAAGGGAGCAGGCCTAAGCCAGCAAACTACAATGGACTGGGCCACAGTCAGCGACCTCCCCTAAATATCAATCCACACCCCTACAAACACCTGATACTTGACAGAAGGAAAAAAATATAAAATTAAAGAAAGCATATACAACAAATGGTGCTGGCATAACTGGATATCAAGATGTAGAAGAATAAAAATAGATCCATATCTGTTGCCATGCAGAAAATTCAAATCTAAGTGGATCAAGACCTCAACATAAAACCAACCATACTGAACTTCATAGAAGGAAAAGTGGGAACTACACTTGAACACTTTGGCACAAGAGACCACTTCCTAGATATAACCTGAGTAGCAAAATCACTGAGAGCAATAATAAGTGGTACTGCCTGAAACTGAGAATCTTCTGTAAAGCAATGGACATGATCTACAAGACAAACATGACAGCGTACATCATGGGAAAAGATCTTCACCAACCCTACATCAGACAAAGAGCTGATCTCCAGTATATGCAACAAAAAAAAAAAAATCAAGAAACTGGTCATCAAAAGAATAATCCAATAAAAATAAATAAGTATAGCGCTAAACAGAACTCTCAACAGACGAATCTAAAATGGTTGAAAGACACTTAAGGAAATGTTCAACATCCTTATCCAGAGAGAAATTCAAATCAAAACAACTCTGAGATTCTATCTTACACTTGTCAGAATGGCCAAGATCAAAAACACTGATGACAACTTATGCTGTAGAGGATGTGGTTAAAGGAAATACTCTTCCATTGCTGGTGGGAATGCAAACCTGTATTGCTGTTTTGGGAATCAGTATGGCGATTTCTCAGAAAATTAGGAAACAACCTTCCTTAAGACCCATTAATATCACTTTTGGATATATACCAAAGGATGCTCAATCATACCAAAATGACATGTGCTCAACTATGTTCATAGCACCATTATTTGTAATGCAAACAACCTAGATAACCCTCAACCGAAGAATGGATAAAGACAATGACATTGACATTTGCAGATGAATGGATCTAGAAAACATCATATTGAGTGAGGTAACCCAGACCCAGAAAGACAAATATAATATGTACTCACTCATAAGTGGCTTTTAGAGATAAAGCAAAGACAGCCTACTATTCACAACCCCAGAGAATCTAGACAACAAAGGGGACCCTAAGGGAGACATACATGGATCTAATCTATATGGGAAGTAGAAAAAGACAAGATCTAAGTAAATTGGGTGTGTAGGGATCATGGGAGAGTATGGGGGCAGCAAATTCAGTATGAAACAACACAAGAAATGCTGTAGAAGAGTTGCATCTTTGTTTACTTTTAAAATCTTTAGTAGAGTCAAAACTTATCAAGAAGGTGAGGAACTGTAAAGAGATGAGCTGTACATGTGACAACACAGGCTTACCACAAAGAGAAACTGCAAGAACTCTGGGTTTGGTGATACATGCTTTTAATTCTAGCACTCAGGAGGCAGAGGCAGTTAGATCTCAGTTGAGTTCAGCCTGGTCCACACTACAAATTCCAAGACAGCCAGGGTTATACAGAGAAACCTCCTCTGGAAAAAGCTAAAGCAAACAAAAAAAAATCCTTAAAAGCATGCAGAAATTCATTTTGAACTACTGAAGTAAAGTAAAATGGCATAGCTTCCATTAGCTGCCAATAGACCCTCATGGAGGTATAGTAGACTCATGGTACCATCCCTCATCCATGATGAAATGGTAATTGCCACAGTCTTACACAGTTGCTTGTTCTTAGTACTTTCTGAACAGTAGTGAGTCTCTGCATTACCCACTACCAACTACAAGAGTACACTTCTTTCACCAACGTTGAGAGTAGAACAAAGTGATAATTATAAATGTGAATCTTTAGATGGCAGATTAACAACATTTTCATTAACAAAACATCAATAGGGTCTGTCCTTGGACCTATACTTCTCAAGCCTTGGTTAGTGACCATGGCATGAGTTCCTCTCTATGGAGCAGAACTCAAAACCAATCAAGAGATTGGTTATGCCCATAAGGAGTCATTCCAGTATTGCACAAGTGCAACCATCTTGTCTAGTGGGTTGGTATTGTAAGATGAATGATCCAGGGGTAAATGGGACCATTGACATAATTTCTCTGCTAACACCCTATGAAAGGTAGCCAAGAAGGAGAGTTTCCTGGTAAATTCAAGATTGCTCTATCTTTCAACCTAGGTGTTTGAAGTCTTCAGGATTGCCATGTTCTTAGGGTGTCTAACCAAGAGCACTGGCAATGACCTATTTTGTTTGAGGTGAAAATGGGGCCTCCCTGACCAGTAAATCCTAGGTCGATGACCAGTACCTGGTATAGAAAGTTTCATCTACTAGCCCTAATGTCTGGAAGCAGCATTATTTACCCAAGTCAGATGCCTCTGTTTCAAGTTTTAAAATCATATTTCCTATTAATCTGTAAGACAGTGGGATTTCATGAGGCTTCTTCATACATCCTTTTGCTTAACCCATCCATTCTTACTACTTTCTTCCCCATGCCAAGTTAAAAATTTAGCATACATTATCCAATGCCCCATTCTTTTATAACACATATGTTCTACTATCTTCTATTGTTGAATCATTTACTTGGGTTGCAGAATGATGGGTTTCCATGTAATTTCTTCATGGACATTTCACTTGACCTTTCAGCAGCCCCCACTCTTGCCGCCACTCCACTACCTACTTGAACCATTCTGCCCCCATAATACCCACTCTCTAATTTCATATCACCTATATTCTACTACACATACCCTCTTCTTGCATCTCCCTATTAATGGTCCATTTCTGTCTTCTTGCTTCTACATGTAATCTTACTATAACACACAAAAAATACAGAAAGGTTGAAACTATGACCCACATAAAATATGTCAGGTTTGACCTTTGGGGACCAGGTGGTGGCACTCATCATATTTCTTGTTGTTCACATTTACATCTAGATTTCATATACTCGTTCTTTATAGCTAAGTAATATATCTTTGTAGAAGTCTAGCACATTTTCATTTACCCATGATCAGTTGATGGATGTCTGGGGTGATTCCATATCCTAGAGACTGTCATTAAAGCAGCAATGAACATGATGGGCAAGTGTAGCACAAATCTATTTAATCTTAATAATAAAAACTCAGAGACAGATATTAGGAAATGAAAACTAATAGATCAGAAAAGCAGAGCAGCCAGCCATGAGAGTTCCTAACTCTACCAATGCTTAGAACAAAGGGGCAATCCTCTTCTCAGACTGCATTCTCAGACTGACTGCCTAGACTGCTGCCTCAGACTGCACTGAGCTCCTTTCTCCTCCCGCCTTATATTCCTCTCTGCCCAGCCATATCACTCCTGTCTCTACCTTCTTAGTGCTGGGATTAAAGGTGTGTGATCCCAAGTCTTGTATGAGCTCTGTTTTTCTTTTAGATTGAATCAATTTTGTGTAGCCTAGGGTGGCCTTGAAATAACAGAGATCCATCTGCTTCCATCTCCTGAGTTCTGGGAATAAAGATGTGAGCCACCACTGCCTGGCCTCTTTGGCTAACTAGTGTGGCTAATTTTGTGCTCTGATCCTCAGTCAAGCTTTATTTGTTAGATCATAAAAAAAAGTGTCATGTTCTCCCTCCTGCTCTTCATTGGGACCTTGGGAGCTCAGTCCGATGCTCCAGTGTGGGTCTCTGTCTCCATCGCCAGATGAAGGTTCTATGGTGATATGCAAGATATTCATCAGTATGGCTATAGGATAGGGTCATTTCAGGTTCCCTACCCTCAGCTGCCCAAGGAGCTAACTGGGGACATGGCCCTGGGCACCTGGGAGTCCCTCTAGGTTCAAGTCTCTTGCCAACCCTAAGATGGCTCCCTTAATTAAGTTATGTGATTCCCTGCTCCACTATCCAACCTTCCTTTCTCCCAATCATCCCGTTTCCCCAAGTTCCCCCCATTCTCCCCTTCTTACTTTTCTCTCCCCATCTCCCTTTACCCCCGTCCCACCCCACCTCCAAGTTCCCAATTTTTTGCCCGGCAATCTTGTCTACTTCCCATACCCAGGAAAACAACTATATGTTTTTCTTTGGGTTCACATTCTTATTTAGCTTCTTTAGGATCACAGATTATAGACTCAATGACCATTATTTGTGGCTAAAAACCAATTATGAGTG